AATAGCAAAAATCCAACAAAAATATCCAAGAGTGTCTCTAATTACCCCCAAGTACTCTATGTGTCATAAAACATTCAAAAATCATTCTAAAATTGATCTAGCATAAAGTTCTAAAAAACGGTCCGTTAACTGGCCATTAACGGTCTATTTACGGTCAAAAGCATCTATAATCATGTATGTGAAAAACGACGTAAAAACTATCCGTTAACTGCCCTTTAATGGCCAGTTAATGGCGAACTTCTGTGTGAATAATAAATAGTCTGGAAACGTTCAGCAAACGGTCAGTAAACGGTGACCGTTAACTGACCGTTTTCTGACCATGGACGTTTTCAGACGATGTTTGGACCGTGAAACGGCCACACTAAAAACCGCAAGTTAACGGCTTGTTTACTAGGCGATTTTTTGCCGTTTTCATAACGTTAACGCGCCGTTTTTTGTGTGACCATTAACGGGCCGTTTTTTTGGACCTGGGGACGATTTGTAATGAAGAGAAGAGCATCTACTTTATAACTTTTGGAACGAAAGCCAAATTAAGAAGGATAAAAGAAATTGGTGGATATTAGACAAGAAAGTAGAGCTTGATAAACAACGTTTTTCAAATACGTTGTTCACACTTGTCAAAAGACATATAGGTCTGTAATTTGTTACCAAGAATTTGTTTTCTTTTTTAAGAATAGCTCGAATTAAGGCAGTATTCCACGCAGATGGAAAATTTCCATCTTTAATAGAAAGTGAGAAAATATGATGAAGTTAGGGAGAAAGGATATCGGCACACAAATTTATGAATTTAGCAGAGATACGATCAATTCCTACACTTTCCTTATTTTTCAATTCGGAGATAGCCTTACAAATATCAGACACATCAAAAATTTATCGGACAAAACAGATGTTTGTTGTGGAATTTAAACATCAGTAAGAGAAGCAGAGAAAGTTGTTTTAAAAAACTCGGAGAATGGTTCAGATTTTGTTTGATTAGTGGTGGCAGAGGAGGATTTGCAATGTAAATCAGATGGAAAATCTTCTTCCGGCTTGCGAAACTTTTTAAAGACGTCCAAAAGTTTTTATTCTTTGAGGATGTTTTTAGAATAGAAGAGAACAACACCTTTTTATCGTTACGAACAGGTTTTAAAGCAAAGTTGCGTAATTGTTTATACTTAGCAAAACGGAAGGTAGGATGATTTTTATTTTTAGATTTCTGAAAAACCGAGTCTCACTTTCTCACTAGAAACCGTGTTTGTCGAGACAAACGGAGAATCCTCTGTTTTTCAACTGAAATAGTTTTGAGCGGAATACACTCATCGATTACCGAAGTGACATGAGCAAAGTCAAAGACTCACAGTCGCATTACGATCTTTCGATAAAAAGAAATTAGAAAAAACAGAAGATAATTTAGTCGCAAGTTGACATATATGGGTATGTTGATAATCATAGACTTACCTGTATATCTAACTGGCTTCATCTCATATGAGAATGATGTGCATAAGACATAGTGATGAGATTTTCCTAGAGAAGAATTGATAGAAGTACTAGGAGAATGTGAATGAGAAGTAAAAAACACATTGTCAATGAAAGTATTGTGAATTGTAATAGGAATAGAAACTGTATTTTTTAGAAGAAATAGGAAGACTGTTCGACGACTTATATCGCCAGTAAGAATCATCCAGTTAGATATACCAGGCAAGTATATCTAACTGGTCCTTCTCCTATTTGGTTACCGCGGACAGCTGCTGATATTTTCTCTTTTAGTGTTAAAAATCACTTCTCATTTTTGCTCATTGGGGATTTGCCGTTGCAACTATTAAACTTATTATGTCCTTTCTTTCTGTTTGTTTCTTTGCGTTTGTTTTCTTCTTTCTTCCTTTTTATGTTTTTGTGTTTGTAAGCTTAGTTTGTAGGTATCACATGGCTTTCTGATTTTTCGGAAAATCTCAAGTTACTTCATGTTTACTTTTTGTGATATCTTTGCTCTTGCTAAATAAACTGAACTATCTTAGACAACAACGTAAAAGAACGACGACCTAAAGTAAAATTTGGACTCTATTATATCCCAACCAAATATCACCTATGGGAAAAATCTAGATACATTTCGTCTGTAATCGGGCGATACACGACTAGTTGCCATCTAGATTACTAGTTGGAAAAGGCACTTTTAACTAGATGCGTCTGCACGTGCAACTAGCAGTAGTTAAATCGATCGATTATCGGGCGATAAATCGATAGTTGCAACTAGAAAAAAACTAGCAATCGCCCAATTACTAGATTTCCACTGTCGTTACACAGTAGTTGCAATTGAGTAAAAATCTAGTAATCTAGATGAATCGGGCGATACTAGATTTTTTTTTGACGCTTAGGTACGTTGTTCCCATATGTCTTAGTTTCAATTTAAGATCAACCCGAGCTGTCTAGCGCTTAATTTGACAGAGAAATCTCCCCGACAGTGTTTATCAGGCTTGAAAAAATCGCTTTTGACATATAGTGGCGCCAGTGTACGACAGACGTTTTAAGGCTCTTAATAAAACTGTCATAACGTTTGATCAAAGCATTGCTTCATGCTGGGAGACGTCTCATTTTAACTATAAATGTTTAGAGCCTATAGAAGATTTGTTCAAAATTCTCCAGAAGTCTTTGATATTGGTTTTCTTGTTCATGTCAGTTAAATAGCACATACTAGCAGAATATTTGCTAAAAGTATCAGCTCTTCAGTATAGATACTTCTGCAGGAAAACACATAACACAGAAGTACGACTTTGGTCAAAAAACGAGAAATGTTGTCTACTCTCCCAACTCTATACTGGCATTTTGAAATACTTTCAAGGTGATATTTTTTACCAAAATTCAATGGGCTTTTATTTCAGAGAGATTTTAAAGTATACGAAAAAAGTTGTGTGCTTTAAATAAGCTTTTAGCCACATCATGAATGAACATTTTTTTAAATGTTCATGGCGTTTTTAAATGAACGATTTTCCGACTGGCGCACAGGTCTAAATGGAACTGTTCTTCATTTACCTGTTGTTCATCGATATGGAGAAAGTATTCGAGTAATTATTATGCTATTTCATTTCTATATGTAATAAAATATTATGATTATTATAATAGACTTTTAACAAATCCTACTTGGTCCTACAATATCTCATGGTGAATTACTAAATAGTGAATTTGTCAATATTGATTTTATCCTTTAAAGTTGATATTGTCTTTTCAATCGATCAAAAGGAGATAGCAATAATGACAGATAAAACAGCTGATCAAAGTCACTTTACAAATCAGTACAAATTCTAGTCATTTTTATTACCTTTTGTCAGTCACTTACATTTCACTCATTTTCTTTCGTTCTCGATAACGAGTCATATATTGTTTAACAAATAGAAGTTGTATGTTCTGATGGACGTTAATATAAATTATTGTCGCGATATCCAAATGGTCTAATTAATTTAGATGAACTTCAAATACTGTCTGTTCTGTGCATGAGTTTAGATCAAATATTCTTATTTACGCATAGTACTTTTTTGGAATTAACGAACCTTTTATGAGATTTGAGAAACAGTCTGACAGTGTTTTATTCAATGTCACGAAAGTGAAGGCATGTAAAAGCATACAAATCGTTGACAAAGTCATGTTTCGCATCGCTAATAGATGGATCGAAGCGCAAATCATCAAAAAGAATGTAGTATTCGCGAAGTGGTTCATATTCATAATCGAATCTTCCATCATAAATTTGCTTGAGCTCAAAACAAATTTGTTCAATATCTTTTCGACATACATTTAGTGCAACTTCAGTATAATGTTGTGTAGCGAAATGTTTTGTCAGTTTCTCTTCAGCGCCTTGCTTATTTCTCACAGCTTGTATATAATGATTAGACGTAGGATCGTCCTCATAACCGATTTCCTCCGCTTCCCATCGTGCAATAACAGATATCAAATGTTCTTCTTGCTCATGAAAAGTCACCAGTCGTCGAAGATCAACTTTGGCTTGACAAAACAAACGTCGTAAAACTAAATCAATAAAATATGATATATATATATGTAGATTGTGTAATAAAAATACCAATAAGCGGAAACAGCTTTACAGCATCTCGGTCTTATCCTATGGTCTATGGATTTTTCCATTAGCAATGAAAATATATCAACTTCTTGTCGTACTTCTGCATATAAGTCAGACGATCTTGGCCACAACAGAGTTGGAACCGGTTGAATTTTTCCTAACCGGACCGGCCGATTCAGCTTTTCGAAAAAACCGGATCGGCCAGTTTACCGACCGGTTTAATGCGTAGTTCAACCGGCAAAAAACCGGTCGATTCAGTTTTGGAGTTCAGCTGGTAAAAAACCGGTTGATTCCATAGCAGATTAAAGTCCGGATTTTGTGAAAAGCCGATTTTTTGCAGAAAGCTAAGCTTGTGTACTTTCAAAATCTTCCTGTCATGGCTATTTCAATATTAACGTGAGGTATTGAGCACGAAGTTCAACCCAATACAAAACGAAGCAAAATTCGCGGACTAATTTCTAATGGTGTATGCAAGTCAGTAGGAAAAACAATATAGAATCACGTTTTAACGGAGAAAAAAAACTTTTTTTTCGGGCTAATATTTCATGAAGAAGGCAATGTTTCGGGCGAATGTTTTCGAAATGTGAAAGAAAATAACGGGAGAAAATTTTAACCTGTGTTCATCTATATCCGGAATTCGCCAGTGATAGGACAAATGTAAAATGAATTAATAGATCATTTTTAGATCTACTGCCTTTTTTCAACCTCCCTTGGGCGATTCCAGTTGACATTTCGAACTTTTGTTATACAGTAGTCATCTTTCGCTTGTGATTCGAAACCGACAGCAACCGGTCGGTTGAAGTTCAACTGGTAAAAAACCGGCAAAAAACCGGTGTTAACTGGCCGGTTGAAAAGTTCAACCGGCCCGGACCGGTAACCGGTCAATCGGCAGGTCCGATACTGGTTCGCCGGTCCGGTTCCAACTCCGGGCCACAATGATAACTGTTCTTGCTCAAGGTATTGTTAATACTGGTAGCGATCAGGGCTCCATATGGTCCGCTCCGGGACCAAGTCAGACCAGACTGTAATCCATTTGGTCCGACTTAGTCCCAGTTTCTAAAAAGTTTAATGGTTCGAACTAGTCCCGATACCAAAACTATTGGTCCGAACCGATCCTGGTTGGAAATTGTTTTTGAGATCTCTTTATTTTTTTGTTTATCGACTAGATAAGTTTTGCTGAACATTTAATTAAGGAACAATTTGTTTTCAGGTTTGATAAAAATTGAAATTAAATAATTTTTCGTTACACAATATAAATAGATCATTATAAAAGCGGAAACGAATTTTCATGGTTCGAAGGTTCAAAATCGTTCGAAATGGTCTGGGTTGGCCCTGGTACCACATTTTTTATCGAAAGTGTTCCGAAGCGGCCCTGATCTCAAAAAGTTATGATCCAATCCCACAAATTTGGACCAGATCGTACCATATGGAGCCCTGGTACCGACTTATAATGTCATGTTTAAAGAAAAATAAATATCCTCTTATTTGCACAATCAAAAGACTCGTAATGGAGTTACGCTGAGCTTTTCTTACCTGATAAGCGTTGGGTCGCTTCGTATTCTCGCTTCATACTTTCTATCACATCTTCATGCTCATGTCGTTCGTTATCCACTTGATGACGAATCACATCGAGATCAGCTTTGAGTTGAAGAGCGTCATCAGTCATCAAACTGATATTACTAGTTTTAGTGTGTGCCCGAGGACGAACATTTAAAATGGTATCGATTAGATACTTTCGAACCTCCACATGGTGTGTGTCATCTGAGCTCAGACGATCAATAAAACAAATTTGACCTGGTTTCATACCGAGTAGATCAATAAGTGTAGCTTGAGTGTCTTCATTGTATATTTTCGGTCGATCAGGCGGTAGTCCGTTAACTATTGTTATCAATGAATCCGAACAAAATGTATAAGCGTTGTGAATGGCTCGAAAAGTAACGATATCCTCGTTTCGTATTCTACCGTTCTGATGTCCAAACACATAGATAACAACAAGTGAATTGTCTTTCTCTTCCTCAAATGCTCGATTGATTTCACGTCTGTTTAGAACGATGCGCTCTTCGTCGCCTTCGATCAGACCGGGAATGTTATAAATTCTAAAATGTCTGTCACCCAAGATGCATGTTATTGATTCAGTTCGATGTGTTACTGATCGAGCAGAAAAGTCATGTTTGAAATAACGTTTACCGAGAATGATGTTAGCCAAAAAGCTCTTACCAACACCACTGTTACCGACAATAATCAATCCATATGTATCAGGCATTGCGCTTGACTTAGTTATGTACAATAGTCTAGAACTAAGCAGAAAAACACAATAACGTATAATAATAATCAATTCAAAAACTTCTAACAGCTGATCGTTGTTTTAGTCGAAAAAAGTGCAAACTCAGACAATGAAGTTTTAATATTGTATTTAGAATATTTAACTATTGCACCTTGCTCAATCTTTATGAAGGAGTCTTTAGATTCATTCAAATCCAGCTAAGAAAAATAAGCATGTCGCTCGCTTTTTAGTCCTGTCAGAAATCATCAATTTTCGCCAAGAATGCTTACTTTTCTTTAGCATTTTTTTCGTATTTTCACTTTCTCTTTCCTTGTCTCAGTTATAACTAACGTCTAATATGTTACACCTTATCCTAGTTTTCAAAAATGAAGAGCCAGACTTCATTGAGTAGGTGATTAATGTTCCTACAAAATGGCGATGCAGTACAGAAAGATATTTGAGTCAGTATGACAACATACTGATAAGAAAAACAGAGAGACGCAGTAAAAATCTAATAAAGTAGTGTATAACAGAGGTAATAAATTTTTCTCATGGCAAACAGGCATGTCTCATGTTATGGAAGAGAATATCGTTAAATCTTTAATTTTATTATTCTAATCTTTTTCACATTCTCCAAATTGACTCATTTTGTATGATACCAACAATTTTCGACACAACAATTTTTTGGAGACCGAGTAATTTTTTTCATCAAGTGAGTGATTCATTTCAAACAAGGTGGTTTCGACAAGAGTCAATAAGAGATAACGATGGTCAAAAAAAGCAACACTCATCCCACTATTTAACTGAAACGTATTACATACTGGCTGTTGAAGCTTAGATATGGCTAGTTACAACGAAAATAAATTTGGTCTGATCATTCTTGGAAATAGTGGTGTTGGAAAAAGTTTCTTAGCCAATATCTTACTCGACAAAGAAGCGTTCAAGCACGAATTTTCTGCTCGATCTGTTACTCATCGCACCGAATTTCAAGAGATCACATTTGGTGATCACCGTTATGCCATCTTTAATATTCCAGGTTTAATCGAAGCTGATCAAGTAAAAAACGACTAGATGTCATAGATTCTATGCATGCATTATTGCCTATTTTAGACCCGTGTTGATATTAACAAACGTGAAATCGATCATGCGTTTACCCAACGACCGAACTCACTTATTATATATGTATTTGGACAGCAAAACGGTCGGATACGTGATGAAGATGCCGTGGCATTTAACGCCATTAACGCCGCATATCCACTGAGTATCGAGTCACTTCTATTGGTAGTCAATGGCCTTCCAGCAACCCGACCAAAGAACTACGAAGGTGAAGTAATGCTCATGTTACAAGACATTATTAAAGTGCCAGTTACGGCGGATAGAGTATCATTTCTAAACCACATTAATCGAGAAAGCTTCGAAGAACGACAAGCTCTGAAAAATCAATTGTTAAGCGTCATCGTCGAACTATCGCCAACTGAGCACATCAAAACACATGACATTCATTTAAAAGTAGATGAAGTTGCTATGCTCAAGAAACAGATTGAAGAAATGACCAAAGCATTTGAACAAAACAAGATTTATTTCCAAAACGAAATTCGTGAACAGCAAAAACGTTACGATGATCTTGCTACCAATCAAAAGAACGAGGCCGATCATTTTCGTCGTATTATTGAACGACAAACTGAGGAGGCTAAAGAAATACGTCAGGAGGAAGCAGTACGATCCCAAAACATGCAAAAAGCATACACATCTCAGTTACTGGCGATGCAAAATCAGATGAAAGCAATGCAAGCCGAACATGAACGACTCACACAGGAAATGGGGACAAAAAATAAAGTAGACTCGCAATTGATTCGACAAGCCCTAGAGGCATCGAATCGAGCACAAACAGAGCTAACACAAAAAATACTAGAACTTCAAAATCGCCCACCTGTCGTCGTCCAGGGCAAAAAGAAAAGTGTATGTTTTTTTTCTTCGAAATGTGTCTTTGAAAAATGTCTTTTTATTAGTCGACTGAATTTGAGTAGACTGAATTTGAGTAGACTTTCTTGACGATTAGATACTTGACAACATCAGTACAATTTTATGCGCAGAATCGCAATACTTTTAGTTTAATTTAGTACTAAAAAAATAGTTTTCGTTGAAGGAAAAATCAAAATCACAGATTAATTCCCTTATCGAACGAGACTGAGTAGCGTTTTGTTCTATAAAAATACTACCGTCCCTTGTATGTAAATTGGATGAGAAGCAATCGTGCACAGCTACTTCATTTAGTTTTAGTAGAATAATTTCTTTTATCACATTTAGTGCTTTGTGGCTGGAACCTTGGTACGTATGGCTGATGGTACGGACAAACCAATTGAGAAAATCCAAGTTGGCGATGTTGTCCTGAGTGCTGGCAATCAGCCTCATCCGGTGATGTTTCTCGATGTCGAACGGCTCGAAGGTCGATATTTATACGGCATTAACCATTTTCCACCGTTCTTCACTTCAGAACACGTCTTTCTTACTCCTGACGGGTGAGTTGATCAATTCTTACTTTAATTACTCAAAACGAACATGCTTATAAAACGTCCGATTCAATAGTTATCAAATTTTTGATACTATTGAAATTTTTCTTTCTTCAAAGTGTAAAATACAGATATAGATATGAACTATACAGTTGTCATGAGAATGTTTTTGCTGCCCATGAGGACTTTTTAAGCAACTATCGGACGATATAACAAGATATTGATGAAAAAAATCAACGCTATCACGATAAGCACCCTGTTTAGCGCGATAATTTTAATATCTCGATATATTGAGGCACTCGATACTTTGAGATATGCGTAATATCGAGATAAGGTTCTTGACTATCGCAACGAAAATGCGTATCTCGATACATTTTTTTAAAACTTTCTTGCACTATATCAAGATAGATATATTATTTCAGTAAAGCCGTTGTTTATGTCAATAAAAGAATATCCCTGTGAAACGCGATAAAATAAATATCGCGTTATAGCAGTAAGTCATTCACTATCGCGACAAGATCGATGTTTATCGCGATACAAGTTACATCCCGATGTATAGTCAGAAGATTTTTATCGAACCGTATTGATATATAAATATAATCGCAATAAGGACTTAGTTTATCGCAATAAAAGCTCATATCTTCTTATATCAAGATACGCATGAGTCACTGGTATATCTCTACAAATTATTTTTCTCGTGATAACTGTGCTGCTTAGCGCGACATGAATTGCACCCTGTAATTTACATCGGTGGCAAATCAATATAAAACTTAACGAAAGTATAAAATTAAATAATGTAAAAATACCTTTAATGTTATATAGCGATCCCATAGTTTGGACAGCATGATGTAGCTGGCTCATTGAAGTTTTCTTGTTCATATCAGTTAAATAGCACATACTAGCAGAATATTTGCTAAAAGTATCAGCCCTTCAGTATAGATACTTCTGCAGGAAAACACATAACACAGAAGTACGGCTTTGGTCAAAAAACGAGAAATGTTGCCTACTCTCCCAACTCTATGCTGGCATTTTGAAATACTTTCAAGGTGATATTTTTTACCAAAATTCAATGGGCTTTTATTTCAGAGACATTTTAAAGTTTACAAAAAAAGTTGTGTATAAAGTTGGATGTAAATATTCTGTAACAAGAGTTCACTTCGTTAGTATGATACTGGGTACAGTACACAATGCATGAAACAACTCAATTTTAATAAAAATAATATCACAAAGTTTCTTGTCACGAAAAAAAGATTAAGACGCGTATTTGTTTTATTCTCCAAATTTTATCTTTCCAAATCTTACAAGACATAGTGAATACCAATGATTCATATGATCAAAATGTGGTTTAAATGTTATTTGTGTATAAATGATCTTTGTTAATAAATCTTGTGATATAGTATTTCGTCAAAATAAATTCATTTTCCGTAGTCTACGGTTAAACACTTCGACGTAGTAACGAAAAGTAGCAACAGATTTCATAACTCACTAACTATTTGGCATTTCTCAACGGCTATAATGCCCTTTCAAGCTCAGTTGAAACGAAAATAAAAAAGAAACGAACTTTTGTATAGATTCGCTGTTTGCATACCAACTAGACTGTGATAATGCGTAATATCGTGCTCCACACTAGAGACCTGCAGGTCATGCACAACCTGTCAGGTTAGGACAGGTTACAGGTAACGAGGCATAAGGCTATGAAAGGTTGTAGGTTGTTAAAATTTTTACAGGACAGGTTATAGGTTATGAAAAAGATGTAATCTGCAGGACTCTACTCCAGACAGAATCAACCAATAACTTCAGAAATATTTCAGAATGTCAGCATGAAGTCGGAAGCGTAGCAGACATTTACCATTTTATGACCAAAGCCAGACCCTGTGTTAAAAAAAGTACACAGATCTTTTGTGTTTAGTTATTCTAATAATTTAAAATTTTTATCTCTTTATTTTATAAACTGTTAAACTTGAACTTGAAACAACGTAAATAAAAATAACGAAAGAAACTAGCTTAGAGTATTCGGATTTTTCAGAGATAAAGTAGAAAATATCTCGAAACCATGTTTTAGTCGGCGGGTACTATTGCAATAGAAAATTATCGGATCCGTTGTCATACATCGATGTGCTCATGAATCACATTTTATTAGGATGCATCGATGAGTGGTCGATATATTGAGATATCTCGACAAAAGAGCTATCAGCGTAAATAAACCTATAACATTCATTGCGATATACTGGAATGTAACAACGGTTCAAATTTCAATGGAGATATCTTTTTCTATCGGAAAAGTCCTCATGAGTTGCAGTAACCAAACGAAAACATTTCTATAAAATCTATTCTAATCTTCTATTTGTATAATTACATAGAATGATGTTGGCAATGGAACCGCAGGCTACCGAAAATGAAGAGCCGTCTCTTCGAGGCCAGGTGAATCCTCTACGCACCAATCTTGAATTGCAAGCACTTGAACAAAATCGACCGTCGACTATCTTAATTAACAACATGACTTGCGTTGAGAGTGATCCTTTAGTCAACGTTTATAATGTTGTACTTGAATCGGGTCATACCTATTACGCCAATGGATTCTGTGTCTTTGATATGTTTCCTAATCTGGCTCAATATCCACGAATGTTCAAGTTCCTCCATCTTCTATGGCAAAATTGTGCAACGCAGGTTGACGCCCATTTCGATGACATCGTTACGCCCGGATCAGTTGATCGACTTCGTCTTGAAAAACTTTCCGAGTGTGTTCAAGAGGCTATTTCTGTTTTTTTGTCCAATCATTGATTAGTTGAATTAATAACTAAAAAATAAAAAACAATAATCAAGATTTTGATACTTAATGTGCTTTTATTATGATTTCTGTATAAAACTGCTACAAACATTATTATGGATTTTAGTCAGAAATCACTTTATTGGTTTCAGCTTTCGATTAGATACACTTACCATCTGCAGGAGCAACAGCAGTTTTATACTCGATAATCTCTAAATTATTAGCCCTTGCTTTACCATCAAATGATTTCTGTGTTTTTTTTTTCAGATATAAAAAGTCTTAATGATGTCAGCGGCTACATGTGGTCTGATTCTATTAGGAAACAGCGGCGTAGGAAAAAGTTTCTTAGCTAATCGATTGTTAGACGATGATGAAGCATTTGAAAGTAGATTTTCGGCACGATCCGTAACTCGTCACACAGAATGGAAGGACATGCAAACTGTTGATGGAAAACGTCTCTATTCGGTAGCGAACATTCCTGGTCTGGTTGAAGCCAATCAAAAATTAATTGATGAAAATCGCATTGAAATTATGAAAGCATTTGAACAGTGTCCATTCGCTATCGTTCTTTTCGTTTTTGGACATAAGAATGGACGAATACCCGACGAGGACTTAGTTGCTTTTATGCGAATTAATCATGCTTACGAATTTCTGTCTAAATCGCTGCTTATTATCGTTAATGGAATTCCAACAAATCCACCTAATGATTACCAAGAAAAAACAACGCAGTTACTTCATGAGCTCACTCATGTAGACAAAAAACACATCTACTTTATAGAGAAGATAACATCAGAAGAAAATAAGAAGGTTATCCACCGTTTCCTGCATGAGGCAGTAGCAAAATGCGAGCCTACTTATCACACACGGAAGCATGACATTGAGCTACTAGCTGATGAAATTTCTCGATTGAAAATGGAGACTAAAGAACGACAGGATCAGTTACTGGCACAAGAAGAAGAACATTCAAAAAGACAAAAGTTAGACTTAATTCCAGATGCAATCCAAAAGCCCTACCGACCACCACAACATTCGCTTACGGCAACGATTGAGCCAATACCTGATTCCATTGACAACAGCAAACAATTCAACGAATTGATGAAAACTAAACACGATCAATATAAGGCGAAAGTTGAGGAACAACTATTACACGATTCAGACAGAGATGCCGAGACACAAGAACTGGCTCGACACGTCATGAATACCAGTGAGCGCAATAGGGAACTAATTACTCGGATATCAACATCACCACACGTTACCGTCATTCCTGAAAAACGAAAACATCCAATCATTAAAACAATTAGTAACATTTTAAGTGATGTGCTTCGTCCATCTCGATATCATGAGCCTCATCATCCTAATACTCCACCTCATGATACCGATGAACACAGTTCTCATCCTTTGACTGATCCACCTCAACCTTACAATTCTCATCGTCGCAAGCCGACTAATAACTAGATAAATGTTCCTATGTCTTTTTGCGTTTATATTTTCATATTTGATCGTAAATAATCAGAAATAAACAACAAATTACTAACTAAACAATTCTATACTCTAATAGCTTAACGATACTATCAACGAAAATTTTGCAGCTAAGAGTATTGAGATATTTTATTTATTCGTCTAAATTTCGAGTATGTATTGTTTATGGTGTAATGGAACTGAGATGTGTTACTGTTAAGGGTAGACCTAATGTTTAGCCTTTATCATAACCATCAATCATTTGTCGACAAATATCTAAACATATTTTTATTTTATTTATTTTTTTGATAGTGTGATAATCAAATTATTTCGTACAAAATGTACAGTAACCATGTCGAGATTTCTGTTGGGTTTTATTATGCCGCGCGGGTTTTATAAACCGCGCTTGCGTTTTGGTGGATCTAGTAGAACGCTCATAACTGTTGACTCAGAAAGCCACAGGATCTTTACACAAACCACTACAAAATTTTGCGTGTCCAGAAAAATGTTTTTGTTTGAATATTCATAAGTATTCATTTATAATAAGGAATAGAAGACAATCAATGACTTCAAATAAACATTATCACCAGTATCAATCCCTTCATCCTTAAAATCCAGGTCAGGTTCAACAAGTGTCTACCCAAGGGGGAAAAATCTCACTTCAAGTGTGTGCACTTATGACCGAAGTGACACTCTAAGAGTGTGAGTCAGTTTTAGAGCGAACGTGGTATTAATTTATATTTTGTGCTTTTCTGACTGTTTTTCTCTTCTCTGCCGAAAATCATGATCCGAACTTTGGACCTTGCTGTAAGAAGAATCAGATTTTGGTTAAAAACCAACAGTCGAATATATCTACTATCGGCACCAAAATTCATTTCACTCAGTTGTTTTTCGAATAACTTCAGAACGTTAAAAGACAGGGACCTGTGATTTTCAACAATCGAATGAAGACAGTTTAACCTATGTTTTCATAAGCAAAACCCTTTTCCGAAACTATTCGGAAGGAGATCTTTGGAAAAGCACCTCGGATCTTGGGAAACTGAGATAACAATCTATCCAAAGTGTCCTCTTCAAAATGCGAACTAGAACTCTTGAGTTTTCCTGGTTCAGGCGTGGCCGCATATTGGCTGAGAGTCCTAGGTACTTTTTTAGGTGTGGTAATTCCGAAAATAATGGAAACGTAGGTAATCAACCACACTGACTCTCGTGGCAATATTTGTTTTTCAGAAAACCTCCACTACTCATTTTTGCCTATTTTCGAGTATATATATAATTAAAAAATTCATAGAATACCTTTATGGACGCTCAAAAGTTAACGAAGCAGAAGATGAAACATACTTTGCTCGTATGAGGGTTATCTAGTATGTCAAAACGTTATTGCCGTTTGCTAACTTCGAGTATATCCCTATTCATTGTTGAAAGCAGAAATCGATCTTGGGTGTGATACGCGTTGGATATTCAGATTTTGCCTACAAAATCACGGAACAAATTGTGCCATATAAAACCTGTATATTTTCTGATTCTGAAATTTTTTTTTCTATGCGGCAATTTTTTAGAGGATTTTTAGAACTCGCTTGTAACAGAAAGAAATACTTCATTCTTCTAAGAAAGTGGTCCGGATTCTACAAGTAAACACTCTTGCCTATTTATTCATAGCAATATTCTATTTTTTATAATTTTATTTGAAATCATCATCATTTGGGACGGTGACTTTTCCCCTTAATATCAATTTGAAATAAACTACACATGCCCACTATTGAACTAAATTCACATCTAATTTATATCGTTGTTTCAAGTATTTAACCGTTTTTGACGTATATCTCTGAGTCCATTTTGAAACTTCGGTATAATAATACCCGTGATTCTTATTATATAATTCAAGTTTTTCAATAGAATTTGCATCATCAAAACTTGGATTAGCTAATAATAAAAGAATTTGATCAAATACAGTTACCATATTTGTTTCTGATGTCCATTTCTCATCAAATATTTTATGATAAATCCTTCCATCACCACTAATATTAACATGGTAAACTTCAGTAACAAATCGAATGTATGGTGCCAGCAATTATGCCATCTAATTGTTTCGGTAAACGTGAATGCCTGGTTCTTTACCAGAAAACTGATATCTTTGGCACTTAGGAACTTATCTTTACCGTCTTTATGTAACGGCACCATTGGATTAAAAAACGAAATAGATCATCAGTCCCTGTCTTCGATGCATGAGTAATTTTACGGCTAAAGAATAGTGAAACAGTAAGATTTTGTAAGAGTACCAATTGATCTGTTATACCTGAAATTAATGCATTACGAGTAATTAATGTGAATTCAGGATATTTTTCAAACATAATCTTATGCAGATCTTCAATCTGTTGAACGAGTAATCTTTCTACTGATAACTGATCGTTTACTATTATTGGATTTATCAGTATTAGTCATACTAAACAAATTACTATTGCATTGCTTACAAGTTGCAAAGCCATCGGACACGTCTCATCCGTGAATCTGTCGTAAGCAAAAGCCTTCAATACTCCAATATGCTACGCTTCCGTTTGGCCATATTTGAAAAGAGAAAGCCGAAGAAGATATGTTAAATATTTACATTCACATTCAATGTCTGCAGTCATTCGAAGGTCTAAGTTTAAATGTAATATATTTGTGAATGATTTATTATGCAGCTGCTTAATAATATTTTGTTGATTATGTCTAATGGATGATAAAATACTAAGTGTTTTTTTCATATTTTAATAATACTGCACCATTATTTAAAGTTTTATAGTTAATGCTGGTTTTCTTTCTCAAATTCATTTATGTTTAAGTCGAAATTCAAGTAAAGCAGCAGATGAAAGGTTTAAACATGATAAAAATTTAGTTCACTGAGTCAGTATATATATACATTTTCACGAAAAATGTTTTCTTCTCAGCATTTCCCATCGAATCAAGAAACGTTGTCCTTTTTTAACTGGGAAATCTTTGGGAATAAGCATGTATAAACTTCCCAATAATTTTTTAACAAATTTGTAATTTTTATTCAGCAAAAAGTTCAATTAGTATGAGAAAAGGAAATTGTTTAATTTCTGTATGCTTTACATACAAGAAGTATGTCTAATTAGTTACAAATGTATATTGGTGCTAATATAGGAAAAAACCATATAAAATGCTGAACTCTTATTACCATCTTATCAAATATTTTTGAAATTTTGAGCAAAATTATTGTCTTTTTAACTCGCCTATATCAGTTGTTATGACCAGATCAACAGAAAAGGAAACGTGAAGAATTATTATACTATAGCAAAGGGTTTTAATTCATCCATTATAAAAGCAGATAAAAGCGTTTTTTGCCGTGAAGCATATCAAAAATTGATAATTTTTTTCAACTGAAGTGAGTTTTGTGGGTCCTAAATTTCTAAGGTTTAACTTCTGTATTATTGGTTTTTTATAAAGTTTTTATAAAGTAACTCAATAGTTGCCATCGAGGAAAAAACTAGTAATCTAGATGAATCGGGCGATGCTAGATTTTCTTTTGACGCTAATTTTTCCATTTTGATTACTTTCTGAACAGCTTATTTCTATTGGAAGAGTGTAGTACTACTCAGATATAAGCGAAGGCACTGAAATTATATTTTAGAACAATATGCCCTATTGCCGCCTCATGGCTGACGACGGTAACAGTCATTCATTGTAAGAAGAGAAGAAAATAAGACCAAGAAGAAGGCAGTATCTTTCATGTTTAGAGTTAACCTAGTGTAAGATTCCGTGCAGACCTAAGGCGCAGATGTTGGTCGATTTCTCATTTTGAAGATCCAAAATCCCCAACGCTCGCTTCTTTGGAGAAAAAGAAGCAAGAAAGATTGTACTATCTATAAAATATTAGTCTTAAATTTGAGGAACGCTACAACGTATATTTTGGCTGGGTGGTCACTATTCCTCTATTACTTGACTAGTCCTCGACTATTCTCCTATTATTCCTCTATTATAGAACATTTCATTGTATAATATAGTTTCGCTATATATAGTTTATATATATCGAACGCCATTTTCCTTTCTTGATTAATTCTTCTTCATTTTCCTTATTTGATTAATTCTTCAAAGACAATCAACTGCTATATTGCAAAAGATTATTCTTTTATCAGCATCATGTGTAAAGCAAAAAGAACTTTTCATTTTACTCGTAAGATAATAAGACTAAAATCCTGGATTCAAAGTTATATATCATAGTACAGAGCAGACGTATATTTTTTTCTTGTATGTATTCTGTACTTATCTACATATAGTTGTAGTAGTAAGTTTCTTCCTCTTCTTTACTTTATACAACTTTTGAGCACGTGTTTGAAATTTGGGGTGAAAATAAGTAACACTAAGGTCAAGGATGGCCACCCCGCAAGGCTATACAACAGCTTCAGTGGTCCAGAATGCTAACAGCTTACTATATGGTACCTTTGACATGGGAAGGGGTCAATTTTTTCCTCATTCTACTCCCTTTCAAGAAAATTTTCGTTTACAACATCAAGTACCTGTACAATATCCCATTCATCCTAGTCAAACACCGTCTCCATATATTTGTAATGGAATTACTTCAGGTGTTTTTATTTCTGATACAAACCAACAACTACAGCGACAGCAACAATGCGGTGCGACGACGAATAAACAAAGTGAATCATCCGTTTTGTTCCAGCATGATCCATCTCGTGCTGCTCCCTCATCTATATCATCTAAATATTATCAGCGTGCTTTTCCAACTTCTCTCGTGTCACGACAATATCAAACAATTGACGAAGAAATTAATATGGTAGTTGAGCACCAATCAAACAATGTAAGTGCCAGTAATGATGAGGTACGTCAAATTAACGATTTACCTCCTTCAAATATACATCGGCCTACCGCTAATCGTCAATTACCTAGTCCACGCTTCCGACGTCGAAACTCTTTATCAATGGATCAACATCCCTATCCACGAAACACAGATAACAATGGTCAAAACATTGATCTGATCTCTC